CCAACACCGGGGATGAGAAAATGAGGTAGTGTTCTGAATAAAAAGTGTCAGCAGCTTCTCGTTTTATCCTCGTCTTCCTCATTGCACTGTCTTCATACTTGGCTGCTCCTCAGACTCACAGAGCAGTGGCAGTCTTCTCTTTTTGCTTCAGGGCTTTTGCCGTGTTTGTATTTGAACACTGCATGTGGATGTGCTTACACTGGAGGTTTTAAGTGGGTGTGTCTGAATTTTAATGCACACGTGCAGAGCATGCACAACTCAGTGGTCCTTTTTAGTTTAGTTTTTTTTCTTCTCATCCCTATAAGCAGAATTCACACTTCATTCAGGCATGCATCAGTGGGTGAAGAAAGTTAATATTCGTTATGAGAAGCCTGTGACAAATACCGATGCATCGACTTTATAACTATTATCTGCAGGTTTGACTTGGAGAACTGATGGTTTTATGTAATTCGACGATCATTACATGTCAAATCATCAAACTATTCAAGTTCATTTTATGAATTTTAGTCGTATTTTGTCAATACTTTAATAATTCAATATTTATTTTTATACATCATTTCAGGGAGGTAAAAATTGTCCAAGAACATTACAAATTGCTTTATTTCTACTTAAATATTCAACTTTGCATCTTTCTGTTTCAGTATTTGTGATTTAAATAATAAGACGTGTATCAAAAATACTCATCCTTTAATGATATCCCATGATTTGCACCTCAGTACATGAGTTGGGAGGAAACTTATTGTGAAAGTGCAAAAATAGATTGTTTTGGGGAGGTTAGGATTTGTGCTGATGGCATATAAATGGAATTTAGGATAATGTTGAAAGATGTGATATAGACAGAGCATGTGGGATGACTCAACATTTAGCTCAATTCCTATAAAAAGCTTTGTTGTTGTTGATGTTGTTGTTGTTGTTGTTGTTGTTGTTGTTGTTGTTGTTGTTGACAATGTCTTGTCCCAATATATTAGTTTAATGTAGTTGTTTCTTCTTTCACAAACGTAAAAAAAAAAATTAAATTATAAAATGTCTGTTGCAAGAAAGACAATGGTATATTGGCATCTTCAAGGGGTGCCCATTTTGGTTGTGAAACATTTTAACCACTATGGCTACAACATGAAATTGCAGGCCAGAGCAATACTATTGGAGTACGTGTAAATGGTAGTCAGTGAAACAGGAGTGATCCAAGAACATAGCCTTGAAGCACACTTTGGTTGTCCAGGGCCATTGACTAGAAAGGAAGTTGCCAACGGTGACGAATTGTTTATTTTAGATTATAAACCTGCAGAAACGGCTGCACCCATACAATGTGTTAAAACACAGTTTTCAGATAAGGTTTAAAATGTGCTTTGAAAGTATGGATCTTCAATCAGTTACCTATTCTTTACTGAATTAAAAAAGTGTGCAAGAATGGGGAAAAATATACTTCCTTTAACAGTTAGAATCCAATGGGTTACTGTTCAAAACTGTTTATACATTTCTGAGAGACTCTGATTATGCTGTCTATGCAGCTATAACTACATCTAACAGTGCCTTCTGTGACAAAACTTCTGGATAAAGTGCATTTTTTCTGCCTTTGATAAGTAATTTTAACCCACAAATTAAAATATATATACAGTATATTTCTACAAGTGAAACAAAGTAAGACGGGAGGGTTTGTTTTCATTTCAAGCAAAACTAAGAAATCTTGAATGTCCTGTTGAGGTAGCCAAACGGCTTCAGTGCTCAAGCTTTAAATGTCTCCCTCAGAATAACAAAAACATGCATTTATGCTAAACCACTTCCAGAATGAAGTGAAACAACTATGAGAGGGGAATTCAGCAGGGATCAGAAGTGGGATTAAAGATGGATTTAGATGGTAAACAGTGGCAAGGAAAAATGACAGATGTTACTGTCTGAAGGAGGGAGGAGAGGGGGTGTTGCAGAGAAATGTCACTCTGGCTTACCCTGAGAGAGAAGAAAAATGGAAGGTGACAGGAAGAGTGCAGAAATGAAAGGCCCAAAGATGATCAATCTGGATTGACATTCTATACAGCTAAAGGTTACACAGACAATCTGGTTTTAAATTTCCAACTTCATACAAGCCCTACTACTTTTCTCTGTGTATGTGATGTATGTTGTTTAAATTCATTGGCCTACTTTCCCTGAGCATAGACTGGAAAGAAGCCAGCAGGGGATGTGTTGAGTGAGGATTGCCTGCACGTGGACCTTAGTGCGAGAGTGAAGATGGAAACGGAGACCCAGGACAGGAGGTTTAGATTGTGCGTTACGTTGAAAGGCTTTAAAACCCCTGCAGAGTGGCCTCTTTTCCATTAGGTTGGACCAGCTGTCCACACCACTATAAAGCTTTGGCTCAACTTGTAGCAGTAAAGTCTGTGTTAACAGTCCAGAATCTCCATGACGGCCTTCCTGAGTTTTGCATTGACCTCTAGTTAAAATGTATCTTTGTCCACGTCTTACTCCTGCTAATTTTAGTCGGCATGCTCTGCTTATTGATTTCTGCAGTAAATCAATATGGCATCTTTGTAGCCAGTCCTCAATAATACAAGCACATGATTTAAAAAAAAAATTTTTAACAATGTTTTCCACTGCACCCATTGCTCCAGTTACAGTTAAGTGCTTACTCAGGTGGTTAACAGGCTTTTTAAATAAAGCATATGTTGTAGATTGGTTTGCTGTAATATTTTTTATTTATTTGTTACTACTTTAGTGTCAGGATTTTGGAGAAAGGCTCATCACTATTGCCTTTACTGGGCTGGTATACTGTTAGTTTGGCACATGTTCAAAATAAGCAACTGGCCTTCTGTTCCTAATTTTCAAAGGTCCGTGAAAACTGGCAGCAAGCAAGAAGGTAAAGTAGGTTATAGTGACGATCACTGATACAGCATTCTAAAACTGAGCTTACAAATTTAAACCATAAAAAATGTGAAGTAGCAACTGGAAACGCTTGCATCCTGAAATAGTCCTGAAGAGTTCTTGATTTAAAGGTGATAAAATGGGAACAGTCCATGACATTGAAAGTTGAATACAGTTGCAGGTTCACTAGAGTTCACTAGAATCCCACAGCTGATCCGTTCTGCTCTGGCAAAAGGAACTGAGGGATTATCACCTTGACTATCAGAATTCATGTGGGCATAGTATTGAATGACCCCCACACACTATGCATAATTTACCTTACTGATGCAATAACTATAAAGTAGTTTTCACAAATAAAAGTGAAAATTAAGAGTTTAAACCAATAAAATGACCTTTATCCTGATCCAATGTTCAACAAACAAATGAAAATGTTTCATTTAAAACAGCATCCAGTTTAATTGCAGCTCTGCTCTTTGAACAGAGCAGCGGCTGATTCAAGGAGTCGGATGAAGCACAAGGGTAAAATGGAAATGTGGTGTTGTCCTTTTTTCCTCCTTCATGTTTCTGTTGAGGGCCCAGTGCGTTCATAAAGAATTTACCATGCTGCTAATTTTAGACGGCGCAGTGCAAACTCCTACGCAAGAACAAACGTCTGTGTGAGGGATGGTGCAGAGTCGTGCTCAGTCGAGATGTGGTAAACTGTGGCTTCTTGTGAAAACTATAGGCATAGTTTCACTCTTTCATAAAATGGATAATTATAAGGTTACAACTTTTACCCAATACTTCTCAGGTTGTACGACTGTCATCATCAGAATATTTATAGACCTTTGGTTTAAAAATCTGGCCATTGCTCTGTGTTTTTAAAATTGCATGGACCATTTTTTAGCACTTTATAAAACTGTTTCAAATTGATTTAATGGTCAAATAATTCAGATGGATTTGCTTTTCTAAAGTATTTGCATAACAGGTGTGAGGTCTATTCAATCACAAATGTGGGAGACTGAAGCATAAAACAGTGTGGCAACTGTATAAGCCACCATCTGCGCATATTGTTTACATCTCACAGGACATAATACTGTATACTGCAAAGATGGACCCCAAAGTGCTTTCCTGTCACAAAGCAAGAATACCATTACCATAAGACATAAAAGCAATTAAACAACTTGTAAAGAAAATGCAATCGGATGGCCTTTAAATTAGCATGTACTATATTTCCATTTCTTTCATGCATATTTCTTTTTGATATAATTTCTGCAGGTGCCTTTGCATCTTTGGTAGCCAACGGCGTCTGTTGCGGAAATATTTACTTAAACAGTATCAGACTGTTGAAAACATAAATTGCCTCGCTGCCTCTGCACTGTAGGAAATAACTTTTCCAAGGACGTAATGTCAGGACACAGAGCGACATGAATCTTCATAAACTGTTTGAAGTTGCATTTGATTTGTACTAGAATGACTTATCCAATGCAACATCCTTGTTTAAATGCATGTAACATGACATGGGACATCTGGGATGGTCTGCATTTCTAATCTTTTTTTTCTTTCTCTTCTAGATCATGCCCCCTAGATAGCAGCCTTGCCCTGCTCTTCACCCCCTCCCTTGACCCTGGGCCCCTTACTCTACCTTCCTGGTCGAGTGCCATCACTGCCACCTTTGTCACCACAGCCACCATGCCACCCAGGAAAAGGACACGGCAGGGCCTGGGCTTCCTGTGCTGCTTTGGCAGCAGCGAGCCACCGGAGATCAACCTGAAAGACACCGTGCCGCTGCAGCTGCTGGAGTTCAGCTCTCCAATGCCACCTGCAGAGGAACTGCATGCACGTTTCTCTGAACTGGTGGTGAGTAAAGATTTATCGATATTTATGCATAATTGTATAGCAATATTTAGCACCTTGTCAGCTGTTTAACTCATTGACTGGTCGAAAATGGGTTTATTTATTTACTGCTGCAGCAATACTAACCTTGCATGTTGGTGCATGACTAGGAAATCAAAGATAATGCATTGTTTTAGTTGAAATCTTGGAGTTTAGTCTTTTCTTAATTGCCATGCAGCCCAGATCTCTTCCTATGCGTTTTGCTCATTATCCTGAACAAATAGGATTAGAGACAGGAATTAGAATGGTTGAGTGTTGCGGAAGGTGTCTTGATGGTTGGCTGCAGCCATGCCCCAACCCCCCATACCCAGCCTTTCCATACACAAATGTAAAGAAACACAGTTCACATCCTGTGCACAGATCACAGACCACACTTGCTGGCAGTGGCTTTAGATCTGTACCAGTGCCAGATTGGGGGTAGTGCTGACATGTATCCATGCTGCAGAGAGGAATCAGGGCACAGCTGTTAACTGAGAGGTCTGCAGTGACTTTATGCTGCCATATAAACTGACCCCGGATCTGCTGTTTCTGTCTGAGTTTGTTCCTGTCTCATGGTTAGCTTCAGTCTTGTCTGTCTCCATCTTAGCTCCCTTGTCGCTTCCCTTCGGCCTTTAAATTTCCTGCTTCATTCAAACTCTCTCAACATAATGTTGAGCGGAATGACTCCATGGCTAGCTCTGGGCCATTTAAGTCCTCAGGAATGCTAAAGGTCACCATCTGCAGGATATGTCACTCCACTGTCAACTTAAATTCAGGAGATAAGGAGAAAATTTAGTTATGATAGGAAATTGTTCACCGTTACTAAGGCAGATGGTTTTCCAGCCGACTGACGGAACTTAACTAACTTTTGCTGCAAACACTTCCTTGTAATAATGTGAAAAGCACAAATCATTAAACGTTAGTAGCTGTAGGGTATTTGTTGTCTTTATTGAAGAACATTTTAATAAGTTTGCAGCAATTTTATCAATTGCCTCGATCTGTAACCTTGCAGTGGAATGATTCAGAGGTCTTGCAGCTGCTTAATATGAGCAACAACAAGCTGCTAATAAATGCTTAACATAAATCACAATTTGCACAAAAGAAAACTTTAAAATGATCAGTGATTGTTTTGGGATTAACCTTTTACGATGAGTTGAAACAAAAAACATGCTAACCATGTGGGAGCATTTAACCAAACTACAACAATCCTCATGTTTGAGGAGATCAAATGGCCCACACTTTTCTCAGATTAAGATAAATGTGTGTGAAATACACAAGTCAAGAAGAAGGAAAAAAATATCTGCCTCTGATTTTAAAACTTTTGACTTTTCTAGTGAGACGAAGTTAAAAACACTCTTTGTATCATAGTCCTGCTAGTTGAACCTATTTTCATTAAAATGGCTGTTTTTTGTTCTATTTTGTTGTCTAACTGATACGATTATATGTTTCAATTTCAAAGTACAGCTTTTGTTTGGTTTAAATGCATCTTTTGTGCAAAACTAAATATAGATTCACCAGATTTGTTTTGCCCACACTGCAGCAGATATGCCGATGCAGATTTGACCAGTCGTTCAAACACTGGTACAACCAGTGGTGATTTTAGCCTCTTTTTGGGGGGGGGCGGTGCTGAATTTGAATAAAGTAGATGCCATTTCCTGCATTCTGGTGTATTTTACAAACATAAAAAAAAATTGTTTCAAATACTCTGACTGCACGACAACCAGCTTCATGAGCAGAGATCATCATCTGTTTTATCAGTTTGGTGAAAGTTCAGATAACTCCTGCAGTGATCCACACATCAGATTGTTCACAAAAGCACAGGAACTTATGCCTAGTGCAAAACGTTTAATTATATTTTTGTATTTTATAATAAAATTACACATGACTTTGAACTTTTAGGGGCAGAGATTTTTTTGGAGCAGAAGCAAAAATGTGAAGCGATAGCTCTGATGTGATATTAGGAAGCTTGTTAAAATTATAGTTTTATAGTCTATCTTTGTCAGGCGGGTTGAAAAATATGCAGTGTAATCCTTCAAAATGCACAGATATGGCTGCGCATCTCCACCTGTCTGCTCCAGACCACGTAGCTGAATTGCTTTGTTCTTCACCAGCAATGTAGAACTTATCTGCGCATGTGCATAGCAGAAACAGAAACTAACCACTTGTGTATGTTGACCTGTGTCAAGAGTGAGTCATAGACTGATGTGGTAGAGAGAATCCGGTGATTTTTCAAAATAAGACACCCCCCCCCCCCCCCCCCCCTGTGCGGCCCAGTACCCATTGACCCACGGACCGGTACTGGTCCACAGCCCGGGGGTTGAGGACCACTGGTGTAATGTAAAGCAGAGCGCTACATCTGTAGCATCTTTTAACTTGCACGTCTGTATTGCACGCCACTGGCTTAGCGCTACTTCTTATTTGTGCCATGCTCTCTAAAATAGTTATTGAATCAAGTGTTTACGTATGGAGGTAAAACTAGATGTTTAACAACTCATTAAAATACACCAGAATGCAGGAAATGGCATATACTTTATTCAAAACCCCCCACCAGTGTGTCCCCCTACATTATGACTGCTTCTGATGCCACTGGCCACGGCATTGTTCAAGCCAAGAGCCATTGTCAGCACTGGAGGGACTAAGCGCCCCTAAAAAGTCAGATTCTAGAATCGCCCCTGGGTACAAAACAACCATAGAAGACAGTCAGCCAGGGGTTCTTCTTATAATTCAAGCAGAGAACAGATGTAGGAGGAAAGGAGGTCTATTATGGGGCAAGAAATAAAGAGAAAGAGACTGTGTGTTTCTGTAGAAATGGGAGATGGGGTTTATTGTTTTGAAACTCTTCTGATGAGAGTAATGAGTCTGTGGAGTTCCTTCAGTGGGAGCGATAGATCTGGGTCAAACAGAGGAAAACACCTCTGTGTGTTCTCGTGTGCATAATGGGGTCTTTTTCCACCGTGACAAGAGACTATAGAGAGCACAGTCAGTGTGTCCTTTCTTTGTGAATGAAAAGACCTCAGCTAACTTGTTTTAGAAAGAAACAAGGGATCAGTTTAAATAAAGTAACATTTACTATAGGATCTGTTCGTTGCTTGTGCTGTTTGGAGTAAAAACAAAAAAGAAAAGTACATCTAGATCTCACCACATACCGGTATATAATATTCTTGTTTCTGGTGCTCTGCAGCAGTCTGAAGGTGAACTCATTTATTTAACATATATGACATATTGCACAGTTGTCACCCCAGAGTACCACTACATGGTGAAGTGGATGTGTGGAGCAGAAATGTGCAGTTAATATCTTAGCAGTGGTATATAAAAATAAGACCAATCACTGTAAAATAAATAAATAAATAAATAAATAAATAAATTGAAAGAAACTCAGTCTGTTACTCTAATCAGGTTCCAATAAAAGTAGTTTATATTGAAAGCAACTTGAACTGAAATATTTCCTAGCTGCTTGAGGACAGAAAATAAAATAAAATATATAAATATATATTTATTACCTCTTCACTTTTGAGACAATTGTTCACTTTGTCTGTATTTCGTCATCTGAACAACAAGTTGCTGCACATATGCACAGACGCTGTTACAAATATCTTATTGCCAATTACAAGTGACTCAGAGTTCCATTAGTTTAATTCCAAAACATCCACTACAAATAGTAAAATTCAAGAATTCAAGGATTTTTTTTCTTGTCATACCAGCTCACATTTGCATGTTTGTGGTGCAAAATTCAGACTGAGGTACCAGATCAAGAAGCCTAACATTTAACAAATACATACATTCAAAAAGAGTATACTGAATATATATTGTATTGAAGCTGAATTAAGTGCAGCTCGAGTTCAACAGTTTGACAGCTACAGGGAAGAAACTGTTTCTGAGCCTGGTGGTCTTACTCTGAATGTTCCTCAGCCACCTGCTTGAGGGGAGGGACTGGAACTGACTGTGTGCAGGATGAGTGGAGTCTTTCATGATACGGAGCGCCCTCCCCCTGCATCGTGAATTATATAAGTCCGAGGTGGTGGGAAGGCTGCTCCTCACGGTCAGTAAATAAGTGGCTATATAAGTGAATATGACTTGCTTTTACAGTATTTCCTTCTTAAAAGTTATAGCTTTAAATTATGGAAGTTTGAGTTTGAGACAATTGAATGTTGCAAATGAACGAACCCTGATAGCTTGTAGCTTGATATCCTTAACTTTTGTGAGTTTCCAAACTTGAATAGGCCTGACTGCTGTCTACTGCAGTTGAGTACTGACTGTTCACATGTAATCCATAGAACCTAACTTGAAAAACATATCCTGGTATTCAACCATCTGGTTTTGCTTTATGAGAAGTGCAGGTGTATGGAACATTGAACTGTAATGAAGCAAAACTGTCATGACATTGTCTCTGGTCTGGCTCACAAACTGATACTGCAGACTGAGCTTGTGTGGGATTCATTTTTGGTTTCTATCTGTAAACACTTTACCCTTCTTTTTCAAATACACATCTCGGACTGAATGAATGAAGTCTGAAGAACAAACCCTGTTTTTTTACTTTGTCAAACACTGATGTGAAAGATTCCTGTGGACCTGGAAGCAATCGCTGCAGATTTTGACACAAAAGCATCACATCAGTTAAACTTTGCATTTGCATCTGGCAGTATTTGCCAGTGTTGTTGTTCTGGGTCTGTTTTTCAGATCATGGTGCAGTTTTAAACCGCTTCTTTCCACCAGAAGCACTTCAAGGCTTGCACGCATAGTTGATATATTGTATAGGCCATGTGTGAAGCCTGGCAGCACACCAAAGAATACGCACAGCTTTATTTTTGTTTGTCAGAGCCATTCGCCGCTAATAACTTTTATCATCAAATGAGAAATTGCTCTCATAGTTTGGTAATTGAAAGTGGGTTTTCCTAAATGACTTTGGTACTTTGGTTCATTTCTCATTGGTGGCAGCTCAGTAAACTAAAATGAACCTTTTGTTTCTACAAGGAGAATCCATGTGT